CTGCTTGGAGTATCTCAATCCTTCTTTGCAATATCGAGAGAGAGAGAGAGAGAGAGAGAGAGAGAGAGAGAGAGAGAGAGAGAGAAGAGAGAGAAGGCCTCTGCTTTTTCCTAAAAGCTATGAGTAATGGATTACAAGTGAGTAAAACCAAAATTGTAATAAATCTCATTATGATAATACAGAGATAACCTGGATTAGAAAATAGGTTCTTGCCCGCTCATTCAGAGCAAGTTGCATCTTGCACTGGGTGGAAAGCATGCTGATACAGTTGCTTTTTGCTGTTGATGTTACAAGCACAAGGGGAAAAATGTGTTTAGGCTTCCATGGTCATCTTTGAGCAAGTTTGTCTTCTAATTTTGACCATTCATTTATTAGTCCACCATCCTTTTGTTTATTCATTAACTCTCGCCATAATGAACTGAGTGCCTTGAAGAGCCTTTAGCAGTATTTGAATGCTACTGTTCACAGATCCAAGACCTCATGAGATTGCCATTGAGTGTAAAACAATTAAAGAGGTCATAGAAGCATTGGGTAATGGGTGGCATGAGTGGCCGTTGTTAAGGGACCTTCTTGACTCCTTTTTGTGGCTCCCGATCCTGCTGTCACTGCGGGAGGTAAAGGCAAAGCCTACTATGACTTCTTCTTTTGAAAAACAAAAGTGAAACATATTTATTGTAGAAATGGTGGGAAATTCAGAAAGGAAAGGGAAGAGAGAATTTAAAACACCCATAATCCCAGTGGAAACATCTTTAATATGTTTCTTTCCAGTCTCTTTACATTTTTAATTATAGTTGGTATACAATATTATATTAGTTTCAGGTGTGCAATATAGCGATTTGACATTTTTATACAATACCTTGTGATCACCCCACTAGTTCTAGTAATCATCTGTCACCGTGTGAATTTACCACAACATATCAACCATATTTCCCTTTGCCTTTCCTCCCTTTCCCCCTCTGGTAACCATCCGTTTGGTCTGTGTTTTTATAAGTCTATTTTTGTTTTGTTTTATTTGTTCTTTTGTTTTTAAGATTCCACATATAAGTGAAACCATATGATATCTGTCTTTCTCTATTTGACTTATTTCACTTAGCGTAATTCCATATAGGCCCATCCATGTTGTTGCAGATGGAAAGATTTCATTCTTTTTTATGGCCAATTAATATTTTGTTATTATATATGTACCACATCTTCTTCTTTTGTTTTTAATAAGATTTTATTTGAGCCAAACTGACAACGTATGCCAGGGAGCAAGATCTCAAATGCTCCCTGTGCCACATCTGCATCCACACGTGGATGGACGTCTCGGCTGCGCCCATACCTTGGCTATTGTAAATGCTGCAGTGAACATCGGCAGGCAGGGAGCTTTTCAAACTAGTGTTTTCATTTTCTTCGTGTAAATACCCAGAAGTGGAATTGCTGGGTTGTATGGTATCTCTATTTTACGTTTTTTGAGGGGTATCCATGCTGTTCTCTTCAGTGTCTGCATCAGTTTTTTCTGCCCCTTCTTTTCTCCCGTCCGCAACCCCTCTCCTCATTCACGAATTCCACCCCTCCCCCAGATGAAATGTGAGCATCCATTCCCTAAGTCTTGAGCTCTTAAAAGATTCATCCCCAACTGCGGCGCTCCTGTGCTCCATCCCAGCCCTGCTTCCTCTGTTCACTCTCTGCACTTCACAGGGTCCCTCCAAATGTCTTAGGTTTTAATTGGGCTTGAAGAGTGGGGACAATTGAGCAGAAGTCAGTATGTGCCTTTGTTGCAGGGTTCAGGACTGAGGTGGATGTAACTACAGTTCCCACGTCCAACTTGAATGCATGCCGTTCTTTAAAGCGTCCCTGTAAAGAAGGGTGGTTTACAAAAATCCCACTGGGATTTAACATGGGTGCAAGTCGAGTCTATAACTCAGTCCCAATGTGAACGCCATCTTTAAATACTTTGTCTTCCTACCCATGAACGGGAAGTTTGTCTTAATTTATTTTGGGTCTTTATTTAAGAATAACTACATTTAAGGTCTTCTTATTATCTAATAAGCTTATATTTCTCCCTATTGAGGTCTTAAGTATCTTTTTCATATGTGTTTTATATTATCCTATTTCTTATTTGTCAAATACATTTTGTACAAATTTTTTAAAATTGTGTTTTAAATTTAGTTTGTTGCTGCTTGTATGTGCAAGCTTCCTCATCCAAAAAAAAGAAATAAAGGTGGCTTAGTCTTTTTGTCCCAGGGATCCTTCATTTGAAATGACAATCATATCTGTCATGATACACACACACACACACACACACACACACACATATTTATTTATTTATTTGTTTGTTTATTTATATCTTTTTCTCCCTTTAAACTTAGCAAACTACTCCTGGGAGTTTATCCAACAGAAATAAAGTGCTCTGTTTTTAAGGATATATGTTCATGGATGTTTACTGCAGCATTGTTTTTGAGGGCAAAAAACTGAAAATAGAGTGGATGCTTATGACTTTGGAAATAACTGAACACATTAGGTGCAGCCATACAAAGGAATATTACATGGCCATTAAATGAAATGGATGAGAGCCATTCCTGTGAACATGAAGACATTTCCATGAAGTATTTATTGAGAGAGAAAAAGAGGGAAAAAACGTACCTTTTATGATCCATTTTTTTGGTAAAAATTGCACCCCTGTGCCTTCATATATATACACATACCCATGTGTGTCTAGTTAAGAATTTAGAGAAAAACGTGTACATGTATAAAATATGTAAATATGCTAAATCGGTAACGTGAAGGAGGGTGAGGCGATGTGGCTTGTTGGGGGTGGGAAGTGCGGTTTAAGGCGCATCACTATTTGTGTGGGCTTTTACGGACTGGGCTGGACATCTCACTCTGATAATACTGTTTTAATGGAAAAAATGTGTCCTAAAAAGCTGAACCACAGGGTTCTATATTAATGGAGACCAGCAGCATAAATATCAAATACTAACTGATTATTCAAATCATATTTATATTTCAGTGAAGTGGGCAGTTTGTGTTTCCCTCAAGGGCAGCCCTATTTTTCAGTTGTGTTTTCACAGAAATGATTGCATTTTTCTCAGCAAAGTCCAGTTGGCAGCGGAGTGGGCAGGCAGGGAGCCAGGGGTGCATGTGGACACACACACACATGTGTGCACAGGGACTTAAGCATGCAGCACCCATGCAAGCGTGTGCACCCACGATCTATGGGGTGGAGCTGGTGTGGATCACAGTTTCGTTTCTGAGGAATCACTGCTATCACAGCGGGGTAAATAAACCTTTGAGTTAGAAGAGACCCATACATGGCTTTCTTCACTCACTTTATTTTTAAGGAAACAAGAGCGAGGACCAAGAAAGTGAAGTGACTAGGCCAAGGTCATGCAGTTATTTAGAAGGCAAGTGGGAAACGGGGACCCCAAGGTCTCATGGATACCAAGCCCCAATTTGTAAAGTAGATGCAGCCCATACCCTCTAGACAAGCAGCAAAATGCCCTGTGTGTCTCCAGGCAGAAGCCCTTTAGAGTGAGGAAATGCCCTATTGAATTTGAGATGATTGCCCGGATATAGTGCCTGGGGGGCAGACATCTGACAGTAGGTGTGAACCTGGATGGGATACAAAGAAATTGCCGCTTTTCTGCCCATATGCAGTTTTTGGTCCTTGATACTAGAGGGTAGGCTTGACCTCTGCTGGTTTGATGTTGTGAAATGACTTACTCTCAGTCAGCAAGTAGAGAATGGAGAATATTGTAAGCAGGCCTGTGAGCTTTGAATTTGAAATAACACTGCCAAATCTTTACTGATTTGTAGTCAATAAATAGTAATTGTTGTGAATGGTGCATTTGAGTGATTTTGGTAAAAAGTGCACTTGAAAGAAAATCCCCATGACTGCATTTGGCTGATGTACTTTATTACGCAAAGGTAAATGTGCTCAAATGACATCAGAATGTCCCTGGGCTGAATAATTACTTAGATTATTCTTTCCTAACCGCTTAGTGAACTATATTGTTCAAAGGGCTGAGGTTGGTTTCCAATTTATATTTTTGCAAAATGCCTGCTCCTCTTTACCGAGGATTTTAGTTTGTTATTTATTGAAATGTCATTTTGAAACATAAGATCTTTCTCACTGTAGTCCCTCCTTTTTTGTGCAATACATGCTCAGGAACACTTAATAGTTGCCAATCACGTGTTAGGCACTGTGCTAGGAACTGGGGATTCAGAGAGACAAGATAGGAATTCACAGTTAGTGGGCAAGACAGAGATTCAATACGGAGTTTCTGGAGGGAAAGTTATATGTAGAGGGCTTCCAGGAGTGTAGGCTGGTGGGATCAGTGCAGGCTTCTCAAAGGAGGCAAGTCTTAGTTGGGGTCTTGTAGGATGCATAGGAGTTCTCTGGCAGCTCAGAGGGGAGTTGGGAGGAAAGGACACTGCAGCGAAGAGAAGCACAAAGCGCCAGAATGTCTAGACTCTAGAGCCTGGCCCGTCTGAGGAATGATAGATGTGCCTGTAGGGAAGGTGTGTGGTGGGAGGGGCAGGGGTCCATGGAAACCAGGTTTGAGAAGTAGGCAGGGGAAGATCCAGAGGGCCTTGTTTACTATTTTGAGGAGTTAGCGTGTTCTGGAAAGATGAGTACCCACCTAAGGAAAGGAGGGTTGTGCACCTTATGGGGCTGACTCTGGCAACAGATTAGGAGCTACTGGGGTCAGGGTGCCTGGATCAGAAATAGTGATTCCTTCACTAACCAGAGGATAGATTAATTTTTGTTTGCATACTCTTAATTGACCGTAAACAAAAACATATACAGGTAATAAGAAAGCTTAGGAGCCTTGGACGTGAAGGATAGTCTAAAGTAGTCTACCAGAGCTCATGTAATCAGCAGGAATATTAATATTTGAGTTAGAGGCTTTGAAATATCAGCACTTAAAAAAAAAAACCACATACTTTAGAGACTGGGGATTAGCTTATTAGAGTTGGTGCCTTTTCTAGATTTGTGATATTGTTTATCTTTGTAGGTGATACTCTCTGGAATCATAGGATTAACAACTTGGAAACGGCCTATGATACTCCTGGTATGTACTATAAATTTTTACTTTTTATAAAATGTGCTATTTATGAAGTCTGTTCAATAAACCATTGAAGAAATGCTAAAGTTTCCTTGTTCATTAAAAAAAAGAAGTTAACCATGGACAATAGAACAACTCTGATGTTCTCATAACTGTAAAGTAAGATGATAATTTTGCCAGTTTTCTGATGGACTTTAAGTTTCTTATATACCCCGTGATAAATATGTGCTTTTCGTTTCAGGATTAGACCTATCGTAAAGATATAATTATGAAAAAAAAATTGACTCTGGACATTTTTTTAACGGATACGAAAGTGGAGGGAATACTAGAATGAACCCCTGTGTCAGCCACCCCGCCTTAATAGTCACACGTTGACTCACAGCCAGTCCTGCTCAGCCTGGCCCTCAGCCGCGCTCCCTGCCCTCCGTGCTCTCTCTGCCTTCATATTCTTTGAAGCAAATCTCAGTAGGAATCATGATTACATAGTTTTTTATTGTTATAATGCTTTGATTGGGCAGCCTCAGAATTTTGTTATTCAGATGTTCTATATTTTCTCTTTATCACACAAGTATTATATTTTATGGTAATACAGACATATATGGGTGACTTAAATTTCCTTTATTGATATAAAATACACATAATAGAAAATTAATCCTTCTTAAATGTATAATTCATTGGCATTTAGTGCATTCCCAATGTTCATCCTTTGTTTTTATTTGCTATGTCCTTCTGATTAAGGAGTACTATAAAAAATAGACCGTTTTCAATGAAGTTGCCAATGTTCAAGGTTGAAGGAGAGGATATATGATATTCAACTTGATGTATGCCTTAAAAATTTTTTTCTGTATAACATTTTATTTTTGACTTTTCTCCCATTTTGAAATAGGGTTAAATAATTTTCTCACTTTTTTATTTATAGACTCAACAGTTTATCTTGAACAGACCAGTGTTTACCAGGTGGTAGGTAATAAATAAAAAACTGGTTAAATTCTTAAATATTAGGAGAGGACGCACATTGTAGAATACAGGCAGAAAAATGGGTTCTGAGACTCTGTTGATGATCTTGAAAAATTAAGGAGTTTTCAGGACCACAAGACAATTTAGGCACCACTTTGCCAATCCATCAGTTATTGCATTTAGTAAAACTATGCCAATATTTCTGGAGGGAGTAAATTATTAATGCAGCATTTTAATATATTAGCAGGATGGGAGAAAAGCAGGCTTTGGATGGTTCTATTGTGCATGTTATGAGTGCCTGAGGCTTGTTTTACAATAACTCTCTAGGTTTACAGTCTCTGCAAAAGAATTTTGGATAGTGTTCAATGTTTATACTAACAATTGATTATAAGAGTCATCTTTTTCCATTGGGTCAATATTGAAATGCTCAGAAATACAAACCCCAAGTATTTAAATTAAATTAAAATCAGAAAATCTTTAATGCTATTTATACTTTGAAAATTCCAAATGGTGAAGAGACTATGAGTGTGTGTGCTATACAGATATTAAGAAATTCCTTCTTTTGAGATATTAATTTCTTTAACGTTGTTTTCTTTTGGAAAGATGCCCTATAATTTTATTATATGAGTCTCAAGCAACTTTAAATGAAAATGACATTAATAAAAGTGTATCTTTACTACATTAAAAAAAAGCTCATTTCTCATCTTCATTGGTAAGTATATGCACTTGGTCACAAAGTTGCGACCAGTTTGCATATCCTGTGTTGTGCTCTGCTTTCTCTGTTTAATATTAAACTATTAATGTGAGTGAATATTGTTTTCGCATATAAGGAGTCCACAATGCCTATCATTTAAAATTGCTAGGTAGCATTCTGTCATTTCTGTATTACCACCTGTTGGTTATGTAGAGATTGTTTTGAAATGTTAATTAACACTAATTTATAAAGAAGATAAGTTAATTGACAGGAATAATACAAGGGAAAACTTTCTGAGGCTATCCATAGATCATTTGAGCCTTAGTATCATAAATGGAAAAATCCTCAGTCCACATGAATCTTAATAGCATATCATTATAACTTGTGCCAAATGCTTTTGTATTATGCTAAAAAATGAAAAAATCTCTAAGGTAATGAAAGAAACTGGACATACGAGTCAGACACTCCTAGTCTGAGTCCTCGCTCATCCTCTGAAGGCGTGTAACTGTGCAGACCACTTACTCTGTCTGAGTCTAGTTTTCTATTCTGAATAGATAGGATAATCTCGTGATACCAAGGGGTGGCTCTACCACCATTCTCCTCTTTAGCGGATACTTGACCTTTTTTTTGCCCATACCCACCCATTCCTGAGTGTAGGGAATGCACCAACTGATAATTTTTGGAGGGTGGGTAGGAGGCCGTGCTCCATGAGAGAAGCCAGTGGGTACTGCGTCTGTGTCCTCATAGACCCAGGCTTGGCGGGGCGGAGTCCCATCCCATCTCTGCTTCATGCCCCACACTCTGCCCCAGGAGCACCTTCTGACTCTAGTACAGCCAGACCGTGCCACATAAACCTGGGACTTTCCTCTTCTAGCTGTTTGCTTGGCTGGCTTCTTCTCTTCTGGGGCTCAGCTCAGCAGTCACTTCATGAAAGAGACCTTCCCCGACCACCCTGGTTACAGTGTCTCCTGCCCCTCACCATGTCCCAGCACTGAATACTGGCCTCGCAGCCTGTAACGGGCCTGCCTGCATGCTCTTCTAGTGGTTGTGGTTGTGTGCCTCCTAACAGTCAGTTCTGTCAGGACAGAGATCTCCTCTGTCTTCTTCAGCCCCTACCCCCAGGATCAGTGTGCTCCATACACACCTATTGTTGACCGCGGAGTTGATTCGGCAATCTTTAGGACGTTTAGGTCCTAGGTGAGTTCCCAAAATCTATATTTCCCTTTTGTCTTAAATTTCTCTCACTTGTTTTGTTCTCTAGACCTTTGTATTCTTCCCCGATTAACTTTAGGGTGGTCAGGGGGTATTTTGGTGATGGAGGTTAGGAGGGGCTGGTTAGTCTTTTCAGGACCCATTTAAGAGGCCGGCTGTCCCATTTTGAGTTGTTGGATTGCACACAGGTCAAGAACACTTGAATACTTTCTTTTGAGAACCATTAACCTTTGTACTCCCTTTTTTTGGTGATTGTTTAGCGATTCCATCAGGTTTTATACTCGTTTGAACAAAGAAGGGTCAGTTTGACCTAGTTCCTTCAAACTCAAGTTCTCATGGAAACTCAGAATTGGTAGCTCTCATTCATTGGTCTTCTTCCTTATACTGATAAAGTACTCATGTGTCCAAAACAAAAATAATAATGTTAGAAAATAGTTTGCAAATATTTGTAGCTTTTTTTTGACTAATACTGAGATTAAGCGTGGGTGTTTGTACATGTGCATACATTTCTGTGAGTATATGCTCACTGTATTCTAGGTTGTATATTTTCCATCAAGAGGAAACATTTTCCATTTTAAAAGAATGTTTTTATTTCCCTTGTTGATGACTTTATAATTTTAACTAATATTATAAACTCCTATTTCTTGATCCATCAACTTTGTATAGCATTTAAAAAAAATCCTTCCTGAGGATATGTGTACTGATTTTAGAGAAAAAGGAAGTGAGGGGGTAGAGAGAAACATTAATGTGAGAAACACTGATCCATTGCTTCCTGTATGTGCCCTTACCAGGGCCTGAACCCTCAACCTAGGTATGTTCCCTGAACAGGACTTGAACCCACAATCTTTTGGTGTAGGGGACAACATTCCAACCAACTGAGCCACCAGCCATGGTTGTATAGTATATCTTGACTCTCTCTTCTGTAAAGTGAAGAAATCAGCACTTAGCTCTATTTCTTCCCCCTTTCACTTCCCAATTTTTAATAGTAACACCATCACTTTCATATTGTCAGTGTTTTGATGTTTACATTTTGCTCTTAAATTATCTTAAATTATACCATTCAAACATTGTCTATAAATAGTTTCTAAAATAGTAAACACCAATAATAGCATTTATGTGAGTGTGATGGTACTAGGATGTTAGAATTGGATTCTTTATTTCCAGAGTCACCGGAGGCCCCAATGCAACAGAAGTCAACAGCTCCCACTTTTCAGTGTATTAGGCTCTCTAAGCAGGGCTTGCAGACCTTCTGGGTGAAAACCAGTTTTGCAACCCTTAACTGATCTCCATCCCCAGCCTACAAAAGGATTAGGGATTAAAGAGACAAATGTTTTTGAGAGAGTTACTGAATTGCTATGGCATTTGGAGTTTCATCTCCCCAGGGGAGTGGTGCTTACAGATAAGCTCTTGGAGAACTTGATATGGGTCCCTTGGTGGTTGACTGGACTGTGTCAGGCACCTGCTTGGGGGAATTTAGAGATCTGGTTGGAGTGCCCTGCGGCCTCAGACTTAAGAGTCTGCAGTTGGGAAATACACGTACCTTTACAGACCAAGCCCAAGATGCATACTTTCTGTTGACCAGATGCAAGAGATAACAGACCTGGGGTAACCTTAGATCCTGCTCCCAAGAACCCCTTGGAGGAGTGAGGAGACCACAGCCTGCATAGCTGAACGCCCAAGTCAAGGGGACTGTCAGCTCAACAATAGGTGTCTCAGAGGAGCCCATGGGAGCCCCATTCAGGACAGAGTCCTCTCTAAACACGTGCTGAGGCTAGAAGGGAACAGTCAGGTGAACAGGCGCTGCCCCTGCCTTGGTTACCATCGTGCCCTGGTCCCCTCCTCGTTTCTCCCTCTCCTAAATGGCAGAGCTGTGGCCGGCAGGCTCAGGAGAAGTGGACACAAAAAGTAGGGCGATCAAGAAGATGGCAGGTAACTCCCTTGCCTTTCCCACTGCGGGCTTCCTTGCTCCCTACAGGAACCCGCCTGATGAGAAGAAAAGCGGAAATTTAAATGAAGTTGCAAATTTTGACTGGGATACAGGTCTGGACATGGTAATGACTGAAATGAGACTTTGTTACTTGTGGCGACTGAGGGACTCTTTGTATCTGATACTGACTGACTTAGAGAAGTCCTGGGCCCAACC